AGACAGTGTCAAGTAATGATACCTATAAATACTGAGATTTCTGTATTTTTCACTGAAGAAAATCTGTGCGATTTTTTAATATCCTATATTAGCCAAATGAACTTTGTGTGCGAACATGTTGTTCCTTAATTCTATCGTTCATCTCTGTACTGTTGAGCTGAGATAACCGTCGAATATGTATGCCAGATTACTGAACCATCTTATTTCGGAATAAATATTTACAGTTGTAGTTTTGACAATGTTTTATTGTAGCAATTCAACTGCTTTTTAAATAGTAATAGCAGTTCTATTCAATTTAGTTGTTTATTGAGATATTTAACTATTCGATTTTTTCCATTGTTACTTACTTAATAGACTTTCAATACTCTAAATACATCAATTGTGGATCTTCACTACTCTAAATGTAATAGTTTTGTTTTTTGACATATGCATCAATTAAAATATGAGCCGCTTTACTAAAGAAGACTAGATGAAAAAATAGGCACCAGTTTTATAGAAGGCTGAGTGGTTGTTAAGCGATTCGTATTATAAAATGTCAAACTTTACGCTAAACATATAATTTTATGGAAGATAATTTTTTTAACGGATGTCACTGAAAGTACAATCCATGCTTTATAATTACTAGAACAGGTGTGTAAGAACAATGAGTAACTGATTACATACTGATGATACTGTGATTCAGATAGTCACATAGAGCAGTGCTACCAACTTAAAGAAAAAACAGTAACAGTATATTTAAAAAATATTTTTTTATATTCTAAGTTTTGAATATTATTAAGACAGTATATAAACAAACCCTTATACTAAGTGAATGTCAAATAAAAAGTTATGAAGTTCTTCTTATAGAAAACATTGACTTTTAATAACATTGTTGTAGTCATTCTCAACTTTTTAATTCTTTGAAGTCCTCAAGTACATTGTTTCTTTTATTGAGAAATGATATCAATACTGTTTCATTATAAAAATATTTGATGGTTTATGCTTAAAAATCTAAAGCCGGAATGTCAATAAAAAGTACATAACATAAATCTTTGTTTATACCCAGATTTCACTATTCACTAATATGAGGATAATTTTATCTATTTGATCTTTTATCATAATTTGTATGAATTTGAAAGTGCTGCCAGTTTAGATATTTGCTTTAGTAGATGCTAGATAAGTCTTTGCCGTGTCTTTTGATGTAATAAAACGACTCTTGTAGGTGTTTACATATATACGCCAATATTTGCGGCCATTTCGCTTTTGGCTATTACGAGTGGCAGTAAATTTTCTTTGAAGTAAAAATAAAAAATTTACGTTGACATTTTTACACATTTTTTACAATGTTAATAAATAAAATAGTTTATAAACTTGTCTTTGACAAAAACTGTGTAATAAAAATAATTGCAGCATTTGCGCATTTCATCAATGAAATTAATGGCACTTATTGACTAATGACTTTTTAATACTATCTGTTAAGAGTGTTTTCATGTATTTTGAAAGGAATTTGAAGTTGACATTCTATTTAATAACACGAGTAGTTAATATATAATTTACAATGTGATTATGGAGTTAATTTATATAACGTTTTGCAGTGGTTTTATGGGTACTTACTTCACACGTTTATAACTGGAAATATAATAGACTAATGAACTAATGGATCCATTAGTTAATTCACTAACTAAACTAAGAGAAGCTTACATATTTTTTTCTATAACAAAACTTAGTTGTTGAACTTAAGAAACACATAAACACTTTATTTTATGTATATATAACAGAGTGCCTCTTCAAAGCACTATTCAGAATGTTAACAGCTACAGCGGAATGTAATTAAGATCACTGCAATTAACATCTGTTCATCATATAGCAAACATATAGCATACATATACATATATTTGAAGTGGTTTGTTTCAAGGTGTGTGCAGTTTCTTGATAGCACAAATGCGCAGATAAAGCTTCTATGCAATTAAATATAAAAATATTAAACTCAATTGCAGAAAAGTCTCAGGAGTAAAAACAATTTCGCAATAATTCACAAATTTAACATTTTGGACCCCCTAGGGCGCCATATATCTTAGCCACCAAAAAATGCCAAAAATGTACGCATTGCAAATAACCATAAAAAAGAACAAACGTAAGCTACAATTGAGCAAAAAACTGTGGAAAAAAGACCTGAAAATTATGTGCTCTGCAAAACCGTTTTGCTACGTGTATGTTGCGAGGCGTTCAGGGCTTATAATACGCAACCGCCACCGGCTGCATTGCGCGTTGACAGATTGTTGCCATTGCACTCGGGAAGCGGTAATTTATGGCGCTGTAGCTTTTTTTCTGTTCGCAAAAATGTTGCTGATAATGAACACGATGATAATGTTAATGACGCTGTTTCATGCGCAAACAATGTTGCGGCCAATGATTCTCTACTGATACTCTTGATGTTGCTGAACGTATTATAATTCAACAGAGACTTTATTTATTCTTTAGTATGAATTTTGGTTGAATCCTGCAAACATTTTGAAACATTTCAAAAATGTCTTCCTCTGTCTTTTTTATTTGATTTTTGCTTGTTGTTATGAGGAAGTTGCAACTGTTGCAGCTGCAAATGCACTGCAATAACGCTTCTGCATTATAGTCTTCTGTAAGTTTTTGCATCTTTGCTGGCTTGCAGTTGCTATAATTAAGTGGACAATTTGTGGTATCATTAGTGTAATAAAATTGTTGCCTTTTCAGTAAAAATATTTTTTAAAATTTATACGTCAAAATTTTCGAGAGCAAAATTACTCGTACTGTTGCATCTTAAAAGTGCCGGCGATATTTTGCTTTCTGAGTTTTTGTTCATTAAATATTTTTTATATTTTTTTGTTGGGTAAATTATTTGTCATTTAATACGAAACAATTAGTCATGATAACTGTATCATTTAACAAAATACTTTCTGACTGACTCTTCGAACTATAAAATTTTTATACGCCAGGGAATATTTTTCAAGCCCAAATGAAACTCATGAGACGTTGGAGAAAGTTGTGTAAATTATTTGATTACACAGAAATTTGTAAATTATTTGTTGACATTTTTTGAAAAATAATGAACTTTACTTCAGAGATGTGCACTACTAAATTTAGCAACAAATTTATTACTTTGGTGTATAATTAAATATTGTGTCTGAGACGTTCTAAGTAATTTTACAAATTTGAAATGAAATAGCAAGTTAATAGCAAGTTTAATGATAATTATGATGATGATGTTGATGATAATGACGATGATGGTGATGATAATGATGATAATGAAGACGATGACAATTATGTTGATGTTGATGATGAATGATAATAATGATGTAAGACGGTGATGATGATACTTATAAAGATGATGATGAATGATAATTAATGTGACTACGATGATGATGGTTGCAATAATAATAATTATAACGATGATGATAATAATAGTGTTGATTAATGTGATGTTAGAAATGATGATGATGATAATGATGGTTATAATGAAGATGATGGTGATGGAGAAAATGTTCTTTTCTATCTATCCTACTATGAGAAATGAGATATGTGTTATCAATTCAAATCTGGCTTCGTTAATAAAATAATCGACGATGTTATTCCAAAACTACTCTTCAATTCTTAAATAA